CCACGTACGTTGAAATAATACAAGACGTTTAGGATTCCAGAAGGGACAAGTGCACTTCCCCCTCCATGGACACCTATTTTTCTTGTAAGTTTTTTTTAATTCTTTTTCCAACAAATATCTCAGAGTCAATTGCTGAGACTCTCCTCCCCTAATTTTTAATAATAAACAATAAGATGACAAATAATAAGAAAAAAGAAAGAAAAATACTATGGACACTCCTATACCTATAGATAATTTTAAAGATTGCACACGAGCTTCTTTCAAAGCCTTCTTTAAAAAGTTCTTTTTTAAAAAATTCTCAAAGACATGATCTAAGTGCTGTGGGAAGCAGAATTTTTCACTATCCTATTTCTTGTTTGTCAGTTTATAGTTCTAAATTATCTTTCTTGTTGCTTGTTCCATTTGACAGAGAGATCATGGCTGCTCTGCTTTTCTGCATATACCACAGTAGTGTTATGTTGATACCACAGTAGTGTTATGTTGATGCAATCATTTATCAAGAATAAATCAAATAAAATGTGTAGACCTTTGAGCTGACAACAGATAAGTGCAGTTTCACAATATTTTAAAATGCAACTTAATATCATTTCTCCTTATATGACAGCCAATTGCTTTATCTCACTCCAGGAAATGAGGCCCATCAGCAAAATGGAATAGAAATAAAGCAGAGGTATCTTCCCAAGATACATCAAGTCTATGACAGGTAGACAGACTGTAACACTGGGTGACATAAAGCATAACACTTAATGACACTTTTAAATTTTTCTTCAAACTTCTTCCTGAGGTTCACTTAACACCTTCTTTGCATTTTTCCAGAGCATATATCTGTCAAGGCTGGCCCTTTCATTAGGCAAATTACCGTAAGCCAAAAGTTTTGGGGGAGAGCACTGGCATCCTTCCACCATTTCTCCAGCTTTCTGACAGAGAATCCATTTTCAGCAGGTCATGTGCTGCCTATCCTTGCCTGCAGCCTAAGATGTGGTGGAACTCACTCTCTCATTTATAGTCTTGGGGCAGTGTGTGAAGAAATTGAGTGTGGTCTTAATTAAAAATATAACAAACTCCTTCTTGTTGGCTTTTGGCTATAATAAATAATATATAGCCTATAACTTAGCAAAATTTGCTATACAGGTGTATAGCAGGTGGTAACGTTTAGATAAAAACCACTGTTGTATAGTATAATTTGGTGTTCTCCCTTATGTGTGTTTTGCGCCAGCAATTTATATTAAAATAATCATTTGTGTCTTGGTTAAAACATAAAATAACTTTTATTAATTATGAACATATATAAAACATAATTTATGGTGCTTAAACATTTGGTATGACATATTTTCTCTCTATGACATAATTAACTCTCTCATAGTTCTACTGTTACATTAATAAGCCCTATTTGTCCCTATTACATGTTTTAGTTACATCTTTATTTCCGTCTGAGGTACATATCGTGTGAGACTCTGTCTTAGTTACATTTTTAGCCCCATCTTAGTTACATCTTGTCTGGGTCCTATCTGACAGACTTCTGACATCTACCATATACAGTAGCCTGACTGTCTACAGACACATTCTGATTGGTTCTGATTGGTTAGAATCATATCTGCTAGTTCTGCCAGAGTCACTCATTCCAGCCAGGCTGGGTGGCTGAGAGGCCTAACACCGAGGGAGGTCCGAAAGGAAAGAATGAGGAACCGGGCCTTCTTAGCAGTGGCCCTTCACCTTTGGAACAACTTGCCAGAAGAGATCCGCCTGGCTCCCTCTCTGGGTGTTTTCAGGAATAAACTTAAAACCTGGCTATTTGGGCAGGTATTCGCAAAGGCTTTCACAGCCGTGATCTAATGGTTGTTGTAGGTTTTTCGGGCTCTTTGGCCATGTTCTGAAGGTTGTTCTTCCTAACGTTTTGCCAGTCTCTGTGGCCGGCATCTTCAGAGGACAGCACTCTGTGCAGTCCTCTGTGCACAGAGTGCTGTCTTCTGAAGATGCCAGCCACAGAGCCCGGTGAAACGTTAGGAAGAACAACCTTCAGAACACGGCCAAAGAGCCCGAAAAACC